ATCCCTGCCAGCATCTCCAGCACTCCTGGCCTTCCAGCTCTGCTCCCTGGCTGGAGGCCTCTGGGGTGCTCCCTAGTGATCGCTGCCCCTTAGCACGACTGAAGGCTTTTCCTCCTGTTGCTAGGGGCCTCTGCTGCTTTCCTGGCCCTGGGGGCTGTTGTGTCTGGGTACTCATTTAAAGTACTTGGTTGAAGTTTGGCCATTTACTTCCATGCCCTCCCCACACCTCTTGAGTATCTCCCATGCTCTGACAGGAGGGTTCTGGAGCTGAAAACACAGCTAGCTCCAGCATGTTCTGTGCCCAGGCCCATACTTATGGTCCCTGTGGGTCTGGCCTGGGTTTGACATCCTAACAACGTGCATTTCCTTTGGCTGTCTCAGCCAGCAGCATCAGACTTGTCCCCTTGTGAGCAAGGCATGATCTGAGATGGCACTGCTGTGTGTGTGCCTTGCTTGCTGTAGGAGTGTCTGCTTTTGCTGGGATACAGGTATAGAGCTGGACTCTAGAGATGGAGACAAACCTCTTAGGTCCATCCATTGCCTGTGGACAGAATATGCCAGTTCCCCGCTCTTCATTTCCCAGGGCTTTGTCCAAGTCCATTTTTAAATGTCTTGAGTAACAGATCTCCTTCCCCACTCCTCTGGGGAGATAACTTCTCCAAGGAATCGGTTGCTTTGGCAGACCCGTTCCCGCTTCTGCTCCCTGCACCAAGCTTGCAGTCTAGAGGCAGCAACTGGATCACGCTGGCACGTGAGGCAGGCCTGGTTCTTGGCTCTTTGCTTCTGATCCAGCCATTCCAGGCCCTGGCTGTCCCTTTCACTGCTCTCTGACCTCCCTCCAGTTTGGCACAGAGGTGCAGCTCAGTTCTGTCCTCTGCCCCAGCCCTACACTCTGCGGGGACAGGAGCAGGAAGTGCATCCCTGCTCCTGCTCTGCTGTCCTGGGACTTGTGTCGCAGTGGTTCTCATCCTTTTAGACCTGAGGCACCCCTGGATAAACTTGCAGCACCCCTTGGAAAATGTCATCTCTTAAGCCTCACTCTCTTTTTTAGAATACAGAAAAATAATAGAGCGGCTTTTTTGTTGCGAAGAGCTCAGAAAGGCCACAACTGTGGATTTCTCTTTGAAACCTCTGGGTTTGTGTTGTGAATCATATTTGCAAACATAATTGTGCTAACACTGTTTGGCACCCCACGGCACCCTTGAAAGGATCTCAAGGCACCACAGGGTGCCCTGGCACCCTGGTTGAGAATTGCTGTTCTAAGGGCTCAGAGCTGTGGTAGTGAAAGTTGGCTGCTTTTGCCAGCCTGGACGTCTGCCCAGAGAGACAGCAACGCCCACAGCCTCAGCTAAACAGGAGCCCGGACGTTGTCCCACCAGTGTGGCTTTCCATGTTGTTGGTCCCTTCTGGGAAAGACACAAGAATCCTGCCAGCTGCTGTTCTTCTCCCTGAGGTGCTGCGTCCTGCCCTGGCAGGGGAGGGTCCTGGGACATTTAAAGCTTTTGCTGGTGTAGAAATGTCAGCTGGAGGGTGACAGCTGGCCATGACACTTAGGCTGGTAGAAGCCCTAATGCAGATGCACTTTGTGTCACTTTAACTTGCTTTGTTTGAGGGACTGGTAGGAACTGTGTAGCAGTGAAAGGTCTAGGTGGGCTTCTCGGTGTGGAGATGTCGCCTCCCCCAGCCTTGCTCCTGTTGTCAAGTGGTTTCTTTCTTGCCTGAGGACAAAGCTGACTGGCCAGGTTCTCTGTGTGCAGGGTTGATTGTCTCTTGCTTCTCCAAAGTGGATGCAGGATCCTTGGAGATGGACTTTCCATGGCCCAGGACCCTTGGTTCTATTTGTGATGTCTTCTGTGACCCTAAGGTAAGTCATTCACCCTCTGTGTGCCTTAGTTTCCCATCTGTAAATCATTCTCCTGGACTCGTAAGTGGAAAGTGCATGGGAAAGACTAGGGAGGCCAGCCAGTAGGATGGTGGCCTGCATGCTGCCTTTGCTTGTCTGTGCTCATCATTCCCTGAGAGCCAGGTCCAGTTAAGCCAGAGGAGCCTGATGGGAGACTCTCTCCCGGGTGGTGTGTTTCTTCTGTGCAGATGCCAGGCCACCCTACTGGCACCAGGCAGCTCCCATGGATGCTTTTTTCCACCTCGTTTTCTTTGTAACTCGTTTCCCAGCTACGGAGCTCCTCTGGGTCCGGGGCACTGGACTGCCCG